TACAACTGAATTTCCTTTCTGTAATCTATGGTGTCAATTTAGAAGTCAAACAACAAAAATCAGCATAACATTCGTTAAACAGCGCACTGTTAATCCAAAAATCACATTTTCCATTTTTCTGCAGCCAAAATTATTCAAAAAATATCTTCCATTGGTGAATTAGATTTTCTAGAGGTGTTTCATATAAAAAAAAAAAAATCTTTCTGTTCTAGTCAACGACCCTAATTCCAATCCATCTTTACCTTCAACCTTTAAGGAAATTATGGTTTACTTTTCGTTTCATCAATAGATAGTGCCAGTAGCTTAATTCCTGTCCATCCATTCTTATCTCATTTATAGTAATGCTATTTGCACTATACAAACAATGCTTAGCATAACATATCTGCCCTTATGAGTACTGAAGGAACTGTATCAGATATTTTATCTATTATACAAAATTGTACTTCTGGTAGTTTATGTATGGAGTGTTATTGCATATAATGTATTTGTAAGTATGTGCAACATTTCACCAATGCCCGCCATAGCTGAGCATTTAAGTTGCTAACAGTAGTAGTTTAACACGGGTTCATATTCTGGCAAATGGGCTGGCTGCATGGGAGGTTTCATGCTTTTTTCATGTGTGATGGGGATACAAGGCAATTTCTCTTAAAAAGTCCTTCACAATGGCCTCCGTTCCCTTGATGGACACCCTTGTGTGTATTGAAGGAGAAAACACACAGATTACCAGAACTATGTATCTTTAATAGTTTTGTATTTACACATAACTGAACTCATGTACATTTTGATTTTAGCCTTGAATGCATTTCTAATTGGTATAATTTTATTCAGTGCAATACTGCATCTTAAGTATTACATTAACTGATATTATAATTATTATTATAATTACATTCTATGTAAAACTGTATTCCTTGTAGTTTATTATTATATGTAAAACTGTGCGCCATGACATGTTTTGATGCTTTTTACCTCCATAAAAAATCGGATGCTTAAAATCTAAAATGATAGGCATAAAAAATAGAACCTGTATGTACTTGTAATGTTTTAAAATAATTCAATAACTGCTGTCTGGACTCCCACCTCAGCCCCTGGTCATGGCTATGTATCACTACATATTTTTAGGTTCACTTTCTGCAGCCATAGCTGCGAGTTGCTTCAGTGGTGAAAATGATATTTGATAAGTAGTGCTTTATAATACCAATTCAGTAACATCTCTCACAATTCGCAACAGTATTCAAGATGTTATAGTGTCCACTATTATGTAATTAAAAATTACTGTTTCTTATCTGTATAAGATGTTATATATAATATATACATACATATATATGATAATTCAAGTACCTTAGCTGAGAAGAAACATAAATCCATCCACTGAAAATAAGAATGTAATTTGATTTCATTACATATTCCTTTTCATAACTTAAGTTTTCAGTTTCACTTATGTCTCTTAACCATTAGTATTTAAATATACCTAATAGAATGCATAAAGGTTTCTATATATATTAATTAGCCATTAGTATTTAAATATACTTAACAGAATGCATAGAGGTTTTTATATATATTAAAGAGTCAATTAATTTAAGAAACCCGAAAATTCAAAATAACTTGCACCGCTACTATTTAAACATTAAATCAAATCAATACACTAAATTTCGGTATTGTTCTGTCATCAGGCCTGGATTAAAAAATATATGTATGTGTTCATATATGCATGTATATATGTACGTACGATTGTATATATATATATATGTGTACATACAAATGTGCATACATTCTTACACTTTTTTAATCTGGTCCCGATTTAACATACAAACACCTAAATTTCTACACCTGTGAACAAATACATTTTTCTCATTATTTTTTATTTTGCCTATATTATTGGTGCATAATGCAATCGCACAGTGTGTGCCAACCATTATGCTATATAAATTTAATAATATTTGTGACAGAAAAAAAAAATGAGTTTTCACAATCACGTACAAATTTACATTCAGCTTAAATCAATGCAAAATCTATGTTAATCTGAGGAGAGAGAGCTTAATGACATCACAGCCAAAAGAAAGGGAGAACACACTTTCAACAGTTTACCCAAGTGAGCTCACCTGTTTTACGGACCTTAGTTTACATCAACTTCAGTGAAATTTGAGCTTTCTGTACACAGAACATAATATAACTTACGTAAAGGCCCCATGCACCTCTTCCATCTTTTAGAATTTCAGTGGTGAGTGATACCAAGTTTGCACAATTTTTTTTTTTAAATCAAAATCAGAATTCAATATAATACACAGGAAGAATAACAGCCCATAAAATCAAGAAGTATGTTATCTGGTATAGAAAATGAAGTTAAAAAAATATATGGCACAAGATACATCATTCAAATAGACATAAAAATGCATAAATAAATGTTTCTCTCCAAAAGCGGTGATGAGTTTGTTACTTTTCAATGGTAGTATAATTTCCATGAAATTACTAGACTATTTTGGGCACTTCTACATATTATAATGGCCATGACTTAAAACTACTGGGCATAAAAGCCAAAAATTTGTGAAAAATATTTATTTACATTTCTGATAAGTACAAAATACCTTTTTACCTTCAAATCGCTTTAACACGCTCACTGCCAAACGACATTTTTAAAAACGGTTTCCCCGCCCCAACAAATTTGAATTGACTAATTGCAAAATAAAAATACAAAACACGTATTTATGGGAAAGATATTGAATTTAGATTATTAATTATATGAGTTATAGGTTGATCTTTACAATATTTTGAAAAACGCGTAAGGAGTATGGTATTGTGCACTTTTTCCCAATTTTGCAGTGAATATTTGTCATGATTAAGCAGTTTTGTTAGATAAAATTTCTAGCATAAGTGTAATTCGGCTAGTAGATTGTTGGAAGAAGTGTTCAGTAGATAAAAGAAAAGAAACATGTCTTTACTTCGTGAAGACAAAATGGCGGCGGGAAAAAAAAATAGAGGGTTGCTGTAGGAGAGTTGGTCGCCAAATTTTCGCCAAAAAAACGCCAAGTTACCATAATGTAAAGATCAACCGAGTTATATTGTAATCAGTTTTTTGCAACAAAGTGTTTTATGACAATGTCAACTGTAAGTATATTTATAATGATTATATTCGTAGTTGGCGGTTGCTCATAACAAAGATTGATTATTTTTACAACGATTATTATAACAAAGATTATTATAAATTGCTTGATGGTTTTTACAGTTCCTATATTATTTACTTTATAATTACTAATATTAATTATAATATATCTCTTGAAATACACCAAATTGGGTACTACTCCTATATGTGCCCTCAGGTCGCCAAAATACGGCAATATGTGTTGTGTGCTGGTTTTTGGCACAATTGTGTGTATTGGTTTCTATGGCAACCCTTTTACGTGGAAACTTGGATTTTACTGTTGGCAAAATTTTAGTTGCGTGCCTGGTACAACTATTTTTTCGGGTGGCTGGAAATTCTACAAGTATTTAGGAGAAGAAGGTTTTGAACATTTATTTGTGAAAGACAGTATCAATTTTGGATAGTGAGTCTGGATGTGGATAGTGAGTCTGGCTGTCATATAAATACGGCAGAGATTATGTGGCAGCATGTTAAAGCTACGTTGCCTACTTATAACTGAAAATGTGATTTTGAATTGTATTTGGTGGTTTATATATTTTTCCATGGTTTTTGGAAGAAGATGCTTTTAACAAATTTGTGGTGAAATTGTTTTTGTGATGTTTGAAATTGGTATTTCTGCTGTTCGAAGAAGCATTCATTCATGGTAAGTGCATTTTATTTAATTCTTGTTCTTATTTTGTAGAATGTTATGTTCATTGTTTTTTCTGTATGAATTTCTGTCGTTATTGTTGTTTTTTTAATTATTTGAAATTTATTTTAGTTATTTTGTTGATTAGTGTGCAATGCCTAGATTGTGCAATTCGTAGATGTTTTTTAAAGTTTAAACAGAACACTGGGTAATGGTATTCTTGAAATTTATTGTTGTTATATTAGTTTATTAAAGCGAGGTGTGCGTAGTTCCTAGATTCTTCACTGCCTAGACTGTGCAATTCGTAGCTGTTTTTTTACGTTAAAACATATCGCTGTGTACATGGATTCTTGTCAAATATTTTTGGTTAGAAACTTTACATTTTAACTATCTAATTTTTTTGTTCTTGTTTCGGATTTTTAGCTTAAATTGTGTGTTCAAAACGTGGTTTTAGCACGTGCAAAAACCGTGTTTTTGGAGACATTTTAGGCTTAAAGTTTGAAACGTAGACTAAAAATTTAGATAGTAATATGGCACTGTGGAGTTTCTCGCCAAATATTTTTGGTGAGAAATTTGTCGTCAAGCGAGTGCATATATATAAGAGTAGTTCTCCAAATTATTGAGTTTTTTCCTAATCCTCAAAGCCAGATAACTTCAAAGAACATGAAAATACTATGAGTTTGATCATATGTGGCGTAGGTAAAACAAAAACATTCCATGAATTAACTCATAGTTGAGGCCTACACACAAGCTTCGACCTGCAAGATAACTCGTTAGCAGCAAACGAGTTAAACTATACATAAAATTCATGATAAGTATTCAATTCATAATTATTTTCTGCAACATTAAATTTAAAATTTAAAATAATGCGCAGTAATAATTCTATAATGGTTCTGAGTAAATTAATAATTTGGGGGTTCTTTTCCATTATGCACCTGCCATGCATTGTGACAGTAATATTATAATAATATGTGTGTATGGTTTTAACTTCTTGTTTACACACACGCATATCTCCACATGATGCTATCATTCCGTCTTGGCATGTGGTTGACTTCCCTTTCACAGGGAGCAAAAAAACACTGCAAGTGCATAACCAAATGTACAAATTTTTGAATAATTTCAAAACATACTGCTTTGCTTAAGAATAATATCTTAAACACTTTTAATGCCAAAAGCAAAATTTAAAACAGTACTATTAATATGATTTAATTAAAAATTTTTGGCTTAGAATATATTTTAGTAATCTTCTCTTGTGTGGTACATTTCAAAACATGGTACTACGCAAAGACCAACACGGCACTTAAAACACCAATACCTTGTTTCTCGTCGATTATTGTGTTTACTACATACTATACACCTTGTTACTGGATTTTTCTTTTTTGATCTTTCAGACACATACAATGATAGAAAATGTCGTTCAACAAGCCGTGGCAGCAAAGAGGTTTTCTCCTCTACTGACTTGTTTTGTTCTTTGTACTTGTCTAGCATTTCTCTAATTAATGTTAATTCAAATTTTGCAATTGTAAAATTCTTTCCAGTTAAGACTTTGTGGAGAGCACGAGCATTTAGTATACTAAGATCAAGCAAGTGTAAGAATAATATTTTGTACCATTTTATGCTTTTCCTAACATATTCTGTAGAGCTCAATGTCATGCCTAATTTTTCAATGGCATATACTGAATTACTGTAATCAACGATGAAATTTGGCTTGATATCACTTTCCAAAGCTTGATTAATAATCTCACCACTTTGATGAGTAGACAACATCCACAGTGCACTTCTTTCATGCCATTTTAAAGATAATAGAAGATTAGAAGATGTAAACTGAATTTCTTTCTTTTTCAATTTTTCTGCCATTACTGGTATATCAGTTCTTGACATTTCAATGCTATGATCATTTGCTGTCTTGTGGTACAGACATAAAAACAAATCTGGACTAGAATCCCAATTGTCAATAAATATATTATGACCTTTTTCTAAATAAGGCCGTAATAATGATATCACAGTATCACTATCATTAGCATGGTTTGAATGTTCCCATAATGCAACAGTGGAGGATTCAGAACAAACAACAAAATCCAGAACATATCCACTATCCCAATCACAAAGAATAAACATCTTTATTCCAAAATTACTTTTTTTAGAAGGTAAATATTGTTTTAATAATAGTCGTCCTTTGTATATAAGAGTATTTCCTTCACAATAAAATTTTTGAAAGGGATGAAAAGCAGACCTGAAATCTTCTTGAAGACGTTGCACAATATATCGTATTTTGAAGAATCGATCTTCGGATCTTGGTTGAGAATTGTCACAAAAATGAAGCATCCGTAGTAAAAGTAAGTATCGATCCTTAGCCATTACTTCTCCAAAAACTGATGTGCTTAAAAGGGAATCCTTGGACCAAAATTCCACAAAAGACATGTTTTTCATGCGTGACATCAACATTGTCAAGGCCAAAAAAGAGTACATTTCTTTAAGAGTAGTATTTTTCCATTTTATCAATCGTGCATGGATTCCTTGATTTGAATTTTCACTCATGTATTTATAATATTTATTTGTCTCGTTAACTATAAATGATAAAAACGGTTCTGACCAAAATATTCTGAAATATTCAAACGTAGAGGAATTTTCCAAAGCAATATCATCATCACCAGAATCAGTTGGACTAAAATCATGAATTTTAGGAGGTAAATCTTTTTTAAACCATGAAATGTTCTCATACCTAGCTCTTTTCGCAGCAGATTCAATATCATCATTATCATTTGCGTCTGATTCTGATCCAGTGTCCAAGAAAGACCTTCCAGCAGAACTTGGTTCTCCAGATGTACCCAGTTGGGAAGACTTCGAAACAGCTAAAATGGGGTAAGGATAAGGTCTTTCTGAAAGTTTTCCTTTGTCAATCATATCTGTTTCTCCAGATATACCCAATTGGGAAGGCTTTGAAACAAGTAAACTAGGGAAAGGACAAGGTCTTTCCACAGGTCTTGCTTTTTCAATGGTATCTCCTTCAGCAGAATTTAGCATTGGCAACGCAGGAGGAAGAAAAGATACTTCAGCAGTTGTTTCTTCTTCAGAAGAATCAGGCTGAGATGATATTAAAGACATATAATGCCCTACCATTGAAATTTCGTTATCTGGTGCCTCTTCCTTTATAGCAGATAAGGTTACAGATTTATCTTCGCTATCACTTCTGTTTAAATGCTTTAACATTACTAAGTGTCGAAAATTATCTCCGAAAATTGTCGAAATTTGTTAATTATCACTTACAAATAATCATGCAGTCAAAATAATAACAACAGTATATACCATATCTAAGTCATAGTTGCATGTTTTTATCACTTACGACCAAATCATCATGCATAGTGACGTCAGAAAGTTATATTTCTCAATAGCTCTAAATGGTGGTGCCCTCTAGTGCTAATTAAATATTTTAAAAGAAGTTACTGAAAGTTATTTAAGGTAGGAAGACTATTTTTATTATATAATTCATATAGCCACGTAAAACTTATTTTCAGTACTCTAAAAAAAAATTGTAAAAATACGGATGATAACGAATTAATACCAGTTACCGATTATTTTTTCTTAATTGCCAAATCTTATTGTTCCTAGAATTATTTATAACTAGTAAACCACGATTTTCTAACGCAGTGGCCTCAAACTAGCGGCCGTCCCTCGAAGCAATTTTATTGTGCCCGCGAATACATTTCGGTACTTACGTACTTTACGTTAGTAGAAATCGTTAGTAGTAACGATTATCGCCAATGCTTCAGAATGCACCAAATTTGGTACCACGCGCAAAACAATTATTTAGGCAACCATACGCATGACAAATATTCAGGTTCTAGGCTTGTCATTTTCGTACGAGTTCTTTTTGCTGTAATCCAAGTTCTAACAGAATTTATATTATTTTTTGTCTTAAATAAGGTTTTTAAATGTGTGCTTGTAAGATTTTCCTATAACAAGAGAAAGAGAGGTGAAATTCTGCAGGAATACATTTATTATGGCGCAGAATTGTTGACACAACAATGATTCGAAACCTTTCTCAAAGCATCGTTATGAAATTTGCGCAAAAAATAAATAAATAAAATAAAAAATAAAGAAAAATTCTGAAAATTTTCAGATTTTACATCACGCCCATAGAGGCATTTTTTTTTAACGCTTTATATATTAACCGCTTTTAACCTTTATATATTAAATATCATGTTCAGGCGCGTAGCCAGGAGGGGTGCCTGGGCGCCCCGGCACCCTCCCACTTCACCACTACCTATGCTTAAAATAGTGCTAAATAATTTTCAATAGAAAAGACTTGAGTTTTTAAAATATTGTTTTCTAGCTTTCCAAAAAATTGATGTGATTAACAAAGAATGAACGGAAAGTCTGCGATTTTCCATTTAGAAGTAACATCAGGAAAAGTCAGCCTTCCTCAGCAAACGAGAGGCGGGAAAATACTTCGAAGGTTATGTGACAAGTCGTAAAGCCTTTGTTCTTTTACAGCTATCAATAGCCCTCTTTCCGATCCCACTCTCCCTCTAGCTATCAAGCTTAATGTCACTAAAGAAGAAAAAGCACTTTTATGTCGAACGAAACATCTAAGAGCATAATGGTTTAAAAAAAAAAAAAAAGGGTACTTTTCCGTTTTGCCGGGGCAAGCGATAAAGTAGCTAATAATGGTACAACCGATGCCAAACGGAATATTCTCGCTGGTAACCTTTTAAGCCTCATTTTCAAAACAAGTCGCAGGCCCACCAGCGGCCGAGCGGTAAAGTCGCTGAACACTGGTAGTTCGGTCCGAGGTTCGAATCCCGCGAACGGGCTGGCTGCATGGGCGTTTTCGTGGTTTTCCCCATGTGTAACGTGTATACGAGCCAGTTTTACTTAGAAAGTCCCCCACGAAGGCATCCCTCCTCTTAGGCAGATAGCCCTCGAGGCTTTGCCATGATCACACACACACACACAAAAAAAAAAACCAAGTCGCAGCTTTTTCTTATCAGATTGATTGTTTCTTTCAATACTGACATATAATTACATAGAATTTTTATGAGATAGTTCAGTTTATGTCTAAGGCCATTTCGGTAATTAAGTCAATTAGGATGCAATCACAGCGCTTACCCAAAGCCGAAAATATAGAAAAGGTAAAGTCAGGGTTAAATTCATCAATTCTAACGAGAATGCATTAGCGAAGTAAAGCACTGCAGTTTTACATAATTTCTGAGTAAGCTATTCGTACGAATTGAAATATTTCTTGCATTTAAACTTGTGTTCCAAATTAAGATTTAACTTGAAATTAATGTAGATAATTACTGAGAGCATTAGATTTTTGTAGAGTAGTTTACGTGAGATGAGATCGCTTGGGGGTCACGTGATATAAACCGGCGAATCAGGATATTGAACCATGAAAGCATAGTAAATTCTTAAATTGATGTTGTCTTTTTACAAATTTATTGTCTTTATTTATTGGCTTTTTATAAAATTTTAAGCGATATTAAAATGTTTATGTCTTCAAAAAAAGAATTCTTAGAACTAATTTTTTTTTAATATTTTTTATGTGTATACTGTATGTTGTCGCCAATAAAGTCTACTTGGCGAGATTTGAGCCGGCGAAACGGAAAAGTACCAAAAAAAGTTTTAAAAAAAAATCAAAGGAAAAAAATTAAGTTGGGGTATTTAATTCTAAGATTTATTAACTATTGTTCAAAAGAGAAACACGGTAAAATAATTTTGAGTAATTGTTTTTACATTAATTTCGAATTTCAGTTAAGTCCATAAATATAGCAAAAATATTAAACTTTTCGTTTGGAATAATATAGAGAACATGTCATCTTCGATGCTTTCAATGCAATGAATTTTATTTTCTTAATCATCTAGCAATTTAAATTCTTGCTATTTAAAATGATTTTATAGGGTAGTTTTTAAATAGGCAGATAGTTCATTCACTGCCAAGTATTACCCAGAAGAGCTGTTAATTTCGTTTTGGCATTTTGCGTTGGTTCACTATAGACGGCGTTTCACTTTTCAAATTGTTGCCAACAAATATTAGAGCCCTGCATTCTATTTAAAGAAATTAAATAAAGAAGAATCTGCAAGAATGTATATGTGTTTCTCGCATTGTGAAAAAACAACGGTATCTAGAGATATCAAATTTTAAATAACGTAGTCCTCCACCCGAATATGGCATTTGGAAGCCCAAATTAGGAATTTGGTTTATTATCTATTGCATGTTTTGTAAAACTTTAATGCATTTTTCATTAACAAGCACAACGATTTCAAAGCGAGCAATGGCAAAACTGTAAGGGGGGGTCATTTTTTTCTCCACCGCGAGACTGTGTATCGGAAATTCTAAATATAAACTCTTTTTAATTTATTTTTGATATTGCTGTTGAATTGAATTTTACGGTTTAAGTGCGAAGAGCACGATAGTTAAGAAATAAAGGTAACACAAAAAACGTTAAAAAAAAAAAAAAAAAAACTCCCCTTTGGGGGGTAATATAAAATCTGAGAGCTTTCAGATTTTTATATATTTATTTATTTATTTTTCTGCTTCTATTTTTGGGACAAATAATCATATAATTATTGATTAAAAGAAAGTATAAACAAGAGAATTTAATAGAATGAAAAATGTACATAGCCCTGTAGTGAACAAAATGCATTAGATTGCTGAGCAGTGTTAGGTCAACATAGGTTAGAATATCAGCGGAACGTGCTGAACGTGCTTTTATGGTTTTCCTTATGCATACAAACCAGTTTCCTTTAGAAAGTCCTCCACAAATGGGATGATATCCCTTTCCATAGACAGATATCTTTTGTATGCTTTTCCGTACTGATTTAAACAAACAGTGGCAAGCATATATGAAGTACTAATTATAATGATAAAATTTTGATGTAATTGTAATATACATCGTCGACATCTAGCCGAAACCACGAATCAACAAAATCCCTTTCTGAGGGGAAATAATTTTATTGGTATAGGCTTTATTTTGCAAAAAAAATTCTAAATATAAGGAAAAACAAAAAAAAAAAAAAAAAAAACTTAAAAAAAAAAAAAAATTAAATAAAAACAATAAAAAACGAAAAAAAAAAAAAAAAGAAAAATAACAGAACAAAAATTCAATATTAATATCAAAGGATATCACCGTTGTTCTCGGACGGGAATTCGAAAAAAAAATTTTTTTTCTGATTCATTTACATCATATAATAGTAATTCAGAAGTCAAACAACAAAAATCAGCGTTATACCTACAAAATTTTCACAGGACTAGTTTCGATGGTTTTACCGAACCATCATCTTCAGCTGCAAAACCGCAAATGAACAAGATAGGAAATAATGATTAGATAAGATAAGAAAGCCTGAACAAGAATAAGCAAGTGGCGCCATCTGTTGGCGAAACCAAAACTAAAACATAATTTCTCTAAAAGCCGAAGGCAAATTTGGATTGGAATTAGCATCGTTAACTAGAACAGAAAGATTTTTATGAATGTGAAAATGCCTCTAGAAAATCCAGTTCTCCAATGGAAGATGTTTTTTGAATAATTTTGGCAGCAGAAAAATTGAAAGTGTGATTTTCGGACCAGCAATGTTGAGCAACAGAAGACTTCTGTGTTTCCTTTTTTCTAACATATGCCTCATGTTCTTTGACGCGAAATTTTAAGGCTCTCTTAGTTTGGCCAATGTAAATTAAACCACACTGGCAAGGAATCCTATAAATACCCCAGGAATTCATATCCGGAATGGGGTCCTTGAGTATAGAAGTTGGAATTTTATTGATGGGAGAATAAACAATCCACTCTATTAGACAATAACATTTACACCATAAAAAATTCAATAGAGTTTGTAAAAAAGGTTAAAAACATTTCTCCTAGTAATTTACTCATGGTTTTCTTTTGATGTAAAAATCATTACACCAATGTCCCAGTGGAGGGTGCATTAAGATGTCTAGAAACCAGACTTCGCGAATTTCATTTCTCTTGCATCGAAATTGAGGAGCTAATTTCTATCACTCAACTTGTTTGAAACAAACACATTTTGTTTCCAAAATAAATATTACAAACAAAACTGAGGGATTAGCCATGGGAAGCCCCCTCAGTCCCATCCTGGCTGATATCTACATGCATTATTATGAATCAAAATTGTTTTGAACTTTAACTTCCGGCATGGTTCCGCTACGTAGACGATACTTTTACCCTGTTTGAAGGTAATAAAGATGATTTAAATAA